CCCCAAAACCCCAAAACCCCAAAACCCCAAAACCCCTTTTTATTAATAGTTTATTGATATAAAAATGATAGAAGAGGTCTTCAGAGATAAGACAGTTCTGGTCACAGGAACAACAGGATTCCTTGGTAATCCACTGATACACTTCTTTGCTCTAGCTGTATTGTTTTGCAATATTATTTTTAAGAATTACCTGATACAGGACTAGATTCAAACTATGATTTACCAAATACGTCATTAATCTCCCTGCTTAGTGTCATTTCTAACCTTTGACTGTAGGCAAGGTTGTGCTTGAGAAAATAATGTTTTCGGTCAGGAACTTCAAGAAGATGTACCTTCTCATCCGTCCAAAGGTAAGACCAGTTTGTTCAGCTGGCATGCTGGGCAGATTACAGCTGAAACACTCCTAAATCGCCTGTTTATGACTAATTTTCTAGAGAATAATGCCACATTCTCAATACTGTATCCAAGGGATCTAACCTTGGCTCAGGTTTGACCTTGTATTATAGAAGGACGCTTTGCCAATCGAGAGGTTAGAGAAGGATATTCTTAGTTCAGAGTGATTCAAGCGATGCCAAGAGAACATTCCCTTTTATGACGAATACATACAGGACAAAATTGTACCGGTTGAAGGAAATATGGTAAATATCTTGTGCCGCAGGGGTGACCATCGGGGAATGAGAGCTGATTCAGCTCCTTAGCATGAAGCAGGGTATAATTTTGTATAGGAAGAGCCTAACCTGGGCCTTAGCCCTGAGAACTATGCCCTTTTGACAAGCGAGATTGAAATTGTTATCAATAATGCAGCTTCGGTAGATTTTAATTTGAGAGTCGATCTCAATATGAGAATCAATGCTGTTGGGCCAATGAATATTCTCAAGTTTTCCAAAGCCTGTGAAAAGCTGATAGTTCTCACTCATGTATCTACTGCTTACGTAGCAAGCAATCAACCGTAATGATTTGTTTAATTTTGTAGTGATGGATTCATTGAAGAGAAAATTGAAGATGATCATAGCCTAGATTTAGACATGTTCGTAGAATCATTAATAAACATGCCAGTTGAGGAAGTAGAATTAAAACAAAAAGACATAGTAGGGAGGTTCCCAAATACTTATACATTTACTAAATAATATCGGTGAGAAATTACTCAAGAAGCACAGAGGTGACATCCCTCTTGTCATCATCCGTCCTTCGATCATCGGAGCAGCTGTTTCTGAGCCCTTTCCTGGCTGGGTCGACTCCATCTCGGCTGCTACTGCAGTGTACCTCACTGGGTGTTTGGGACTTCTCAAAGACTTGAAAGGCAATGTCGACAACATCGGAGACCAGGTCCCTGTGGACTATTGCTCGCACTTGATCATTGCAGCCACGGCTAAAGCTGCCTATCAGAATGGCCTGTTTATCTACCACTCAGCTTCGAGCAGCAGAAACCCGATCACATGGATTCAGACCATCAGGTACTTCTGGCTGTATGTGGGTCGGAACCGGTTCGAACGAAGGCTCTCCGATCCATCCTTTGCAATGTACTCCAATGATAACTTGTACCGAGCAGTGTTTTACTTGAAGCGTGAACTCCCAGCCAAGGGCTTCAACTACTTAGCCAGAATGATCGGAAACAAGAAAATGATCAAGGATTCCGAGCGACTCAGCAAAGCAGTAGATCAGTGCAAGAAGCTCGGAGGCTTCTTCGGTCACTTCACATCGAACGAGTGGATCTATGACACCTACAACATGTTTGAGCTGAAGGGGGCTCTTAGCGATGAAGACAACATGACCTACAGAATTGATGTAGCCGAAGTTGACTGGAAGACCTATTTTCAATGTTTCGCATACGGAATCATGAAGTACTTGCTGAAGGAAGAAGCTGAGCCACCATTCGGAGACCGCTCCAACATCATCAACCGATACCCAAGAACATTCGCAGACTTGTCATGGGTGTACTATCACGGCACAAAGCAGAACACACACAGCCATGAATACATTTGTAAGGTGGTTTTGAACAGCGAGAAAGTGAGGATGACCATCAGAGAAATTGTTAGAAAAGAATTAGTAGCATCCAGTATTAGCGAAACCAAAATTCTGAAGGCCCAACATACAAGAAGTAGAGAAATTCTCGACAGAATGGCTGCTAAAATGAACCACAACAAAATGAGGATGCTTGGTTACATCCTCCATAAAGCCTATAAGAGCATGTATGAGAAAATTGTAATCAACCAAGGTGCCATCGAAGAGCTTAAGAGGCTAAACCTCGAGAAGGACACAAATGTGGTCTACTGTCCTACACACAGATCTTACATGGACTTCTTGATTTTGACATATGTCTTGTATGGGTATGAAATTAAAGTTCCTCATATTTGTGCGGGTGAAGACTTTTTGAATATCGCAATTGTGAACACATTTCTGTCTAATTCAGGAGCTTTTTATATGAAAAGAAGTTTCAAAGGAGACCCCTTGTACAAATCCATTTTCAACGAGTACGTCCATTACCTAGCTTCAGAAGGACGCTCACTGGAATTCTTCCTCGAAGGAACTAGAGCAAGAGGAGGAAAGATGCTCAAGCCAAGGTATGGATTTTTGAAAATTTTGACTGATGCCTACTTCCAAAAGAAAACAGAGAATCTGTATTTTGTTCCTGTCACTGTTAATTACTCGAGAGTTTTGGAAGGTGAAACCTTCCCTCTAGAATTACTGGGTGAGTCAAAGGTCAAGGAATCATTATCGAGAATCTTGAACACAGTCAGATTTATCAAAATGGATTTCGGTTCAATTTATGTTGAATTCACTAAGCCAATCAGCTTCAAATCTTATGTCCAGCAGCAAATGGTTGAAGCTGGAATTAATCCTCAAATTAACATGGAGGACAGAAAGCTAGTTACGAGTAGTCTAGCTTGGCAGATAATCAACACTCTCACTGATAACTTGCTAATCATGCCAACTTCAATTTGTGCCTCTATCCTTCTGATGCACAGGAAAGGTATCAGCGATGATGAACTAACTAAACAAGTTGGATATTTAATCAAGGAACTGAAAACCAGAAATGCACACTTGCCTTCTTTCTGCCAAGAGGCTACCAATTGTGTCAAAAAGGGTACTTTCCACCTGAATGAGACAGTCAATAAGAAGAAGGACATCTTTGAGCCAAGAGTTGTCCCAAAGGTAGATTACAAGAATATCCTCCTGCTTGCGTATTATAGGAACAACCTTGTGCACCTCTTCATCAGTGAAGCTATCATCAGTTGCTCCATGTTCGGCTTCGGGCACCACCAAGCTTGGCAGAAAGGTGTCACTAAGGAGGAACTGTGGGAAAAAGTCCTGTTCATAAGCAACTTGTTGAGAAATGAATTTGTCCTGACTACAAACTTCAAAACAGTAGAAGATTACGAAGAGATTTTGAGATTTATGAGTGCAAATAAAACTATTTGCGAAAACGAAGATGGACTGATAGTGCTACACTCAGAAGCAGAAAACCACATCAACTACTTGAACTCCTTGATCTGGCCATTTATTGACACTTATTGGGTCACCTTCACGTTCGTATTCTCACTTGTACCTTCAAAGTTTATCAGAGAGAGTGAGATGATGGAGAAGGTGCAGTGGTTCGCAGAAACCTTGTATGAAGACCAGATTATCAACTTCTATGAATCCTGTAGCCAGGAAGTAATCAAGAATGCTATAGGCACTTACTTCGAAGACGGTATTATTATCAAACAAAAACTTGAGACAATCACAGACGGAGTGAAGGACCCCACCGTCTACACATTGGGAGACGAGTTCAATGACGAGGACCGTATGCAAACCTTCTTGAACAAGCTCTCACACTTTAGAAAGGCCACATTGGTTAAGATGGGTAACATGACCAATATCAGGAAGACTCTGCTATCAGATTTTCCATTTATGGCCAAAATGTAATTAGGGCGATGAATTAGGTTCAATTCTTATTCTATTACAAGGGGTTTTGGGGTTTTGGGGTTTTGGGGTTTTGGGGTTTTGGGG